TTTCTTCTTCCTTCTCCTTTTCCCTCTCCTTTTGAGGCCGGGAGGAGAAGCAAGTTGCTGGGCGAGGAGCGGGCGCTGCAGCCAGCCCGTGTGCCCCCAGCTTAGCTCAGGGGCTCTCCCGAGGCCCCAGCTGCTGGGCYTTGTATTCCCGGTTGTTCTGGCGGGTCTTTATTTTTTTCTTCCTGCCCTTTAGCTAGTAGGCACGTCTGCCTGAAAGCATCAGGCATCGCAAATGTAGGACTGAGGACACAGTCTTTTCCTGGATTTCCACGGGGGGAAGTTCGAAGCTAGTGTGGCCACGGATGTCATTCCGTGTTGCTCCTTAAACTCTCAAGCTCAAACACTTCTAGTGTCATTCGGGTGCCACTGAAAATGTGACTTCCAGACTGCCTGCAGGATCGAAGTGTTTGAGCAGTGAATTGACTGGAGAACCGGTGAAACTTGGAGCAACTAAATTTKTTTCCATTTTAGTTAGTTATGCATAATCACTACCAATACCTTTCCTTGTAGTTGTCGCTTGTGTTTCTTGGAGGCTGTTGGTGAGACTGACTTGACTACAGCGTGTGTCACCTGTAAGGCCTGTGTTAATGCTCTGTGGTCATCAGTTTCACAACCAGGTGATGCAAGTAGGCAGGCTTTGGGGTAGGAGATTGCTAATGAAACTTTAAGAAGTGAAGAAAGGCTCTCTCGATCAGCTAGCTCTGYATTTGGTCTCCAGTGGTGACAGTAGGAAGAGATGTGGCCCAAGGGACACAGGAGCAGGACTGTGCCCCCCGGCTCCCTCAGCATCCCACAGCCTCTGAGTTAGGGGTGGTACCGAGCACATCCTCACCCATTCCTCCTACCATCTGCTTTGAGACCTGTTGGGTTTKACTTTCCCTGAGAATGAGTAGGTAAAACTGGCAAAGAAAGAGGATACAAATTCAATTTTCTTTGTAGCTACAATTCCGCAGCTTGCTTTTCTCCAGAATATGCCACACAACGACTTAATGTCAGTATGCATCTCAATAATTTGTTTTGAAGGATAGATTATGTTTTATTTTTATGCTCATTGTGCATAAAACTGTAATGAAGTTGTAGCCCTTTAGTACCTATTCGGTTGTGTATAATAAAAGGTTAATACTGTTTTGCAGAACTCAAGAAAATGTGCACTGTGGCATGAAAACAAAATTTCCATGGTTTTGAGAAGCAAAGTAGAACATTACTCAAATGTGTATGCGAAAATAGCATGTTACATGTCAATCCCACAATGATCTTTTAAAAACAAACATGCCTGTGATATGGCAGCATTTGCAGTACCTTTGGGGGAAACTCTGGGGAAAGCTAATTAAAAGTGTCTGAAGTGCTCTACACAATTCAAATGATTAAAGCTGAATTTTGAATCCTTATTCYAGTACAAACTTAACAAGTTGCTCTTTTTCCCATTTCTGTGTAAAATGTGGGTAAACTTAACTTTGTACTTTCCAGCCTTATGAAAAGGATGCACAGCAGCTTTGCTTTAGTTTCTTAATAAGATGATGGATAATATCAGTGTGTGCACAGATCCACAACTTTGTCCTGTAGTTCTAAATCTAACACAGGCTGAATGTAAGTTTTGAAGCAGTGTGGACTAAATAAATGCAGAGAAGAAGTTCCAAGTCACACTTGTGTGATCATGGTCAACATCACACCTTTCGTTCATGAGGCAGAAAAGCTGAAACTGCAAAACTGGTAGCAGGTCTCCCATTCGTGTTGCACTCCCTTTTTTTGGAGTGGATGAGGGGATGCTGGTGTCTTCTCTTTGCATTAGTTGTGTCCTTGCTTTGTATAATTCTAGAGTTACAGACTTCTGAAAAGGTTCCTGTTTCCTACAGTTAGCCTTGGCTGAGTTATATGAGGATGAAGCTAAAAGGCACTCGTCGTGTCCTGACAAACCAACAACCACAAAGATCAATAACTCGAGAGCACCTCGGAGGTAAGGCATGCCTTGTACTTCAGGAAAATGTTAAGTAAATGTTGTGTAAACTCAGAAAGCTCTGTAAATTGCCATCATACTTACCTTTGTATACAGGACGGTCAAATATATTTGATGGTTCATAAATCTGGACTGTGAATCCTTGTAAAATAAGTTGGTGTATTCCAATATACTAGACATCCACTTTACAAAAGACAAATATGCATTAGAAAAATGATGTAGGTTCACTGCATCGTGGGTGGTAAGAGGAATAAGCAGGACTTGTTAATGTGTCTGTGTGTTAGGAGAGAAAGGACGGACAACATATTGTCCATAAAGCCACATTTTGCTAGCATGCAGTATTTATGGTTGCATAGCCTTTGAAGACTCAATACAGCTTTAAAATTAGGAAATTTTGCTGGCTTGTAAAGAATTATTTAACAAAGAAGAGAAGTTTTTTTCATTTGCTACTGCCAGCGAGGTTTCCTTTCAGTGACTGCTGCCAACATGGATCTTTGTTTCAGGGATTTCTGTCATCAGTACCCATGCCTCCAGTACATCTGAGATGCAAATCTCTAGAAATAGGGATTTTAGCATGAAATTTAGCACTTGGCAGAAAAATTTTGGTTTTGTTCTTTGTTTTCCCCATGATAAAACCATCTTGAGATGACTGATGGCTGAATAGCATTTAAAACCAAATTAAGCACGGAACTCTGTTTGCCAGTACATGTCATGAAGTTACATTTTTCTATTTCAGTTCAAGGAAAAGCTGCAATACAGTATCTGGAATGTTTTGCTGTGATAGCTGTTAGCCAACATTCACTTTCTATTGGCAGTCATGGTGGAGTTGATCTGAGAAAGAAAATCACTGCTGTTTGTGATACTCAGAATACAATTTTATTTTTTTAACAGAATTTAGTTTGCTCTCCAATGAGTAGCACATTAATTGCAGGGAAGCATGCTGCTGCTCTTGAGGTCCTCTGCTCATCTTATCTTCCAAAATGACAGCTTTGATAGGATGTCTCTGGGCTCTGCTGGATTAAATGCCGTGTTACATAAACTGTGATGTTATGTGAGTTCCAGCACCTCTAACAAAGGTACAACTGTTAGCACAAAAAAACCCAAGTCTCTCAAATTGTGCGAAGGGAAGGAAACAGAAGGGAGAAATCAATGCACATACCCACAACCTAAGTCCCTAACAATACCATTTCTTTTTCTGAGAGAGTAATAAGTAGTAAATAAGGAGTTGGATAAGAAATTATATTGTTTCATCAATATTAATACTTTAACAAGATATAGTAGCCATAAAAGTTGCCTAAATCTAAACTAGAGAAATATGATTATGTAGTAGATTGTGTATATATTCTTACCCCATAATAGTTAACTGCTTTGCCTGTGTCTTGTGTTGAGGGGTTTTATTTTAAAGTAATACAGGATAAAGGTGTACATCTGTGCAGCTCTTCCTGGCATGGTATAGATTTGCAGACTAACTAGTTTACTCCCTGGTAGGTCATTCCAGTAGGTAGGTCCCTGTCCCAAGATAGACTCTGTTGTTGCATTTAGTCATCTTTGAGCATCTTTATAATGTTAGCATTCAATATGTGTTTTTTGAATAATGTAAAATGTAAATGAGAACTACTAATTCTTAGCTTCTAGAATCGATATGGACTGGGATTCTTGAGGCACCAAAGAAAGGCCTACTGAGGCTGACTAATACTTGTAATTTCACAAAATCAGCTAAAATGCTTTGGAAGGAGTTTGTAGTACAACTGATACCGGTAAGCTAGATTCTGCATCAGTTGCTCCAATTGCATATTACTTTATGCCACTGCTGGTGGCAGGTAATTAAAAGTAGTAATCTGCATTCCCCAGCATATTGTGGGTGGCTCTGCCATATACCCACGTCTCCCCTCTTACTCTGTGGTAAGTATAAATGGATATGTACTTTGACCAAAGCAACATTCCTTTCATTACGTGAACAGATACTGGAAYGTCCTTTGGATGAATGCTCTGGAGGACTTGTCTCTTCTAAAAATAAATAAATAAATCTTTAATCATGAAAAACATATATTCTTTGTTTTTTCAAAAAAAACAAATTTCAGCAGTTCTTATTACCTCTAATACACKGTGAAATACATCTACTGTTTATATTTAAAATTTTTATTTTATTCCCTTGGCAGTCTTAAAATTGATTCTTTTAGAAGCTTGAGAAAACCAGAAAGAAGCATGAGTGATGACAAAGAAAACCAAAGGTACTGTAAAAACAGAAGTTATTTAACAATTGTGAAAGTACTTTTTTTTCTGGCATTCATACATTCGTTCTCATTTTTCAAATTGGAGTCAAAAGGATGTTTTGCCTCATCCCAAACTTCCTGAGTGGTTCTSTGTATCCATTACTCAAATATCTGAGTGTTTTCTTGTTCTTGAATTCTCATGGGAATTCGTATTCTCTTGTTTCATCTCATTACCATGATATTTCTTCACAGTTCTGGTATCTAAAGCTAGTGTCCATAAATGGCAGTCAGGACAGACGTAGGTGCAAAAGGGAGTTAGTATTTAGGGGTTGCAAGTTATGGGACGTTTTAATACTAGCATGGTTATATGTGCTTCATACCCACTGCTGTTACTGAATAATTTTAGGATGTGGTGGAATTAACAGCATTTTGAAGGCATTGGCCCTGAGAACGGCTTCATGTAAATTAATTGACTTGCATTGTTCCAAGTTGTTCAGTCACAAACTTAAAGCAGAAACCACTTACGTTRCTATTATAGCTGCATGAAGTTGAAGAGGAATCAGACTGTCAGGTTTGCCAGGCTTTATAAATATAAATCCTTTTTTGGGTTTTTTTGTTTGTTTCTTTGTTTTAAGGTCATTGGTATTTAAGTGTTCGTAGGCCCATTTAGAGTATCTTCATAATTCAGATATAATTTTGAAGAAAATTATGTGTAGTTTAACTCTTAGAAATGGGGCTATGCTGTGCAAGAAGGTAACAATTCAGCTCTCAGTGCAGTTTCTGCAGATTTAAAAATGCCTCAAAAGTTTAAATAAATGGTGAATTTTGGATATTGGCAGGAAAGAACTGGATCCTTAAAAAGATCAAATTTTGGCACTRCTCAGGTTTTTCCACAACAGTTTCRTGCTCGTTCTGCCAAGACAGTGTTAATTGTGGATCTGTATTCAGCCCAGGCACAGTCCCATGCACAGGACCCCCCCGAGGAGATCAGTGTTCCCAGGAGCTGGCGGGACCCACGTAGGAGGAGGTGTGTAAAGCCCTGGCTGCCTCAGGGCTGTGTTTGCTTGGCTCTTGCTCCGAACCTCTGGGGTCTGCTCCAGAAGGCGCTTTGGTTGCTTTGTTGGTGTAATGCCTCTGGATCTGTGCTGCTTGGATTACTGGGAAGGTCAGAACTAAGCAGAGCACTTCTGTTATGAGATTGAAGAGGTTCTGTGTCAGAATTTGGCTCTTTGTTCATTTTGTTCATTAAGTTTTGTTTTTTTTTTTAAGGGAGAGAGAAAAGTGATATCCATTATATAAAGCATTGCCACTCATGAGCATTACCATTCTTAAGATTTTATTCAGGTGACTCAGAATATAGAGGATTACAGATTTCTGGGGCTTCTAATAATCCAAGTAAAATTGTTGCTGAACTCTTCAAGGAAGCAAAAGAACATGGGGCTGTCCCATTAGATGAAGCCTCAAGAGCATCTGGTGATTACAATAAAGCTAAGGTATGAGTAAAAAGATATTTTTCCCTCTGTATTTTCATCAGGCTCTGAAACTCATATAACCATGTGAGAGCAAGTTTGTCTTTTTCTGGCTTGAGACTAGCAGAAGTTTTTGTCAACACGGCTGTATATTTTCTGTGGTCAAATTCCTTGCCGTACAGCGAAGGTTGGGGGGAATTTTGGAGGAGTCATTGAAAATCATTGAAATGTTTGCTTTGTTCTTAATTAAGCTGGATATTAAAAAATCAGATGCAGTTATGTCTTTACCAACTTTTTTTTTTACATGCTGAATTAATAATGTTTGAGAAAATGTACAGGTTACAAACTAAATCATGTCATATAAAACCTGCTTAGCCTGATTATAGTTACTAGCTCTATTTTTTTTTTTTGCAATAAGAAAGTGTACAATTTAAAACAATCTATTTGCTTTTCTTGCCAAGGAAGAAAGCTGTTAATGCTCTTATTTTGCACCTTAGTAAATATGTTAAACTCTGTAGATATTTATTCAGCTGCCGAATGTTTTCAGTGAGCCTTTTGTGTGTGTGTTTCAGTCATTTTCTGGTGGTGGATACAGATTGGGTGACTCCTCACGGAAACGCTCTGAATACATCTATGGAGAAAATCAAGATGTAAGTAAAATAACTGAATAGCAGGAAATGGTCCCTTCAGCAGCTGTCTTGCAACGTGAATGGTGCTTGTAGCTTGAAATACCAGCGGTAATGTCACTACCTCGGTAAGAGGAACTGCTGTAAAGCGGGGGTTACAATTAAAAGCTTCATTTGATATCAGGATTAGATGTGGTAACTGTTAAGACCTGTAGATATTCAGAGCATTGATTTGGATCAATTATTTCTCTACAATTAGTAACATATAACTGCCCAATTTTTTTTTTTTTTTGCTGTGTATTAGCACCTGGCTTATATTTTCTAATATATGAAAATACCTATCATCTGGATATCTTTGCTATACTAGGTATAGATCACATAAGTTTGGGAGATTTTATTTTAATGATTTAGAAAAGCAATTCTTCTGAATATTAAATAATATCACAATTCAATTTTACATCAATTRCCATTTTATTATTAAGATTGTATAGGTAATTAAACTGCAGTTGCCTGTAGCAAAAGGCAGATGGGGTGCAGGGATGCTCATCCAGATTTCCACACTCCCCTCTTCCCATYGTACATTAAACAAGTTAGGCCTTGAAGACAAGACTTTCTTCCTCAAGGTTATCTCAGCCACCATAGATGTTGTGGAATTTCATTTCAGGTTTATTTGAACACAGTAATATCTCTGAAACCAAAATGTTCCATATGCTACCTAGTGAGCATCTAAACAGTGGGTTTAAGCATAGTGGCAGTTTTGTGAATGTGACTTTTGCTTCTTTGAAACAAGTGCTCAGAAACAAAATTCATTAAAAATATCTACAGTAAGTTATTTTAGCACCTCTGAAGTGTTTTGTGATAGAAGTCAGCTTTTTATTATGCACAATTCAAGTTCAAAACCAACTTCAGTACAGAAGCTAGCATAAGGTGTACATTTTCGGAGAGTGGAGCATAACATAAAATCCTGCTCCTGACTAATGCTAATGTCATGCTYACTGTATCTTATTTTTGCATCAGCTGTATACAGTTTATGCCAAGGTCTTACATATTATACTACATATATATAATATATGTATTATATCTTAGTAAAAATAAAGTATTTTAATATATCTTTGTGTGATAGGTTCAAATTCTACTGAAACTGTGGAGGAATGGCTTCAGTCTGGATGATGGAGAGCTGAGATCCTACTCAGACCCAACAAATGCTCAATTTCTTGAATCTGTTAAAAGAGGGTAAGTTAAAACGATGGGTACTTTTCATGTCTTTACATACTACTCCTTTTTTCCCTTCTGTCCTGATTGCAACCCAAAATGCGTTCTCTGTTTGCCATGAGATTCATGGGATTTTTTAAATTTGAAACATCCTGGTCCGTTCTAGTTGTTTAGCTCTGGATGTTAAAGGATGACACTTAGTTTTACATCTTTGGTCAACACACTCTGGGATTCAGCTGTTGGTTCAGTGATTTTATTTGCATTTTAGTTTCATCTGTTAYCTTGGGATTAAATCAATTCCTAAGGGATTCCTAAGGAAAGGATGACTTTCAATGTAAACTTAATAGTATAATTTTTTTTWAAGTTTTGTATTGCAGTTCAGAATGTAATTGGGAAACCTCTTATTTCTGTACTTCAGAGAAATTCCTGTGGAACTTCAGCGACTAGTTCATGGTGCCCAGGTTAATTTGGATATGGAAGATCATCAAGAACAAGAATACGTAAAGCCTAGACTGCGATTCAAAGCTTTCAGTGGAGAAGGACAAAAACTTGGAAGGTAAAAATGCCAAGTTTTCTTTCCTGTTGCATTTATATGCTGTTTCAGAAGCTGGGTTTGATCAGTTAGACTCCTGGAGAAGCTAATCAGACAAAACTGGGTGACAAAAACAGTGTTACATTTTTTCTGTATTGCATATATTTACATCCAATTTGACAGAATCACCAGTCAGTTTATATAGAAGATTAACAAAAGTTGCGTTCATTAATTTGTTCTGTGTCTTAGGTTAATGTTTTGTGTCCTAGGCCCGCTCACAGACTAGATGCCTTGTCCTCTGTTCACCTTCCTATGTATGTGGGAGCAGGGGAATCTGAAAAGTGATTAGTCCTGCAGAGATTTCTGTCTAATAGAGGAATGAGACTCAAATATTTTTTCCCAATTTAGCAAGAAACAAGCAAAAGTTAATTACAGTGGGATATTGTCCAGTAAGCATATACCCCGTTCTGGATTATGTGTGACAAATGCTGTGCAGGATGCCTGGAATTATCACAAGGGGTTTTGCAACGATGTGCTCATGCTTGACTTAATGGCTAGGGAGATATTTTTGTATGCAAGCAACTAATCTTTTCTCTGACATTAAGCAATAAGAACATGGTGTTCTGAAGTGTAGTCTCATAAACAGTCATTTATTACAAGTTCCATAAGGCAAGTCCCTTATTTTTAAAAACAATTCAAATAAGTGCTTTTTTGGGGTCCAATATGTGTATGCATAGTAAAGTGTGTTAAGAATTCTTAATTCTAACTAGTGTTTAGTTAAAACAACAAATGTCACCACAAAAATCTATAGTCAGAGCTAATTTTTAGACGTGAATAGCCAGAGAAATTGTATATGCTCCTCAAGATGAGTAGCCTGGATTGCGGGAGGGAAGCAACTCAGCTGTTAACCTCTGGCTGAAGCTCCTGCACTTGTCCCAGTTGTAATGCCACTTCTCTCTACAGTATATAATTATATATGTAGTATATATGTAGTGTWAATGATCTGAAGTTTAATGATTTAGAAGAGCTTCTGTCTGGTTCTGTGTCATTTCTTATCCTGGTACAGGAGTAGGCTGATGCTTTGAAAGCTGTAGCAGATGTGCTGCAGAGCTGATCTCATGCACAGTGGCCCAGCAGTCATTGCTGTGGCTGGATGTATCGGGCTGCTTTGTTCAAAAGGTGACCCTAATGTGTGGGGGTCTCCCATAAAAACATGATCCCAACACTGTCAGTTATCAGCTCTTTCTAAGAATGAAACTGTAGACCTTATAGCACCTTCAGCTGACTTTAATATTAGTTGTTAATGTATCCACTTCTAGTTTTCTGTTCATGTTACGTATTTCTCTAACAAAAGGCATTACTGTTATGCTCTTGCAAGTAATTTAATCCCATCTACCTCATAATTTTAAAAATAAGTAATCTGGGAACGYTCAATCTAAAAAGGCAGTAGGCCCAGGTAGGGATGATGTGGAAAGGAAGTGCATATGGTAACTTCTTCAGCTGGACACTTAATCCAGCTATTAAAAATAGGTGAGGAAGAGAGGAGGTTCTTTAAGCAGAAATGCACACCAGCTGTGTGGTTTGTTTGTTGTAGTGGCTTGTGACTGGAATGYGAGAAGAAGCCAGAAGGTTATTCCCTGTCAAATCCGGGCATGTTTAAAAAAATAAACAAAAAAATCTATTCTCACAAACAAACAAAAAATCTATTCTCACTACAGTGGTGGTGTCARCTTTTCATTTATATCATTTGTGCTCTAGACGGTTGAGGTGTCAAGACTTACAAAACTGTTCATGAAAGCAGTTACTGAAGCAGGTTAGTTTARTGCAGTTAGCTGTAGCTTAGTGCACTAAAGCTGTAGTGTAATAGTACAATATCATTATCTTTTAAATTTGATCCATAAAGTAAAACATATAAAGCTTAGTATCAGACTGTCATTTCATGCTCTATAAGTATAAACAAAGATGTTTTGTGCCTGATTACCTGTCATTAAAATCATGCAAATGTAACAATCTACACAATTGTATGAAAACATACTTACATATAAAAATTGGAAATGATAAACAGGAAACTGCGAAAAGATTCATTCAGTCTATTTTAAAAGGTATGTGTAGATAGCTTAGAGTATATTCATGACTCATTAGTATTAGCTGTGCATGCTGGCATTTCACTGGAGAGGAAGCTAATAGCTCTGTTTGTGACTCTTCTTTGTGTGTTTGTTCTTGTTCCCTCCCTTCCCAAATCTCCAGCCTTACCCCTGAAATAGTCAGCACACCTTCTTCACCAGAAGAGGAGGAGAAATCCATTCTTAACGCACCTATTCTGATAGATGATTCCAAGCCAGCAACGAAAGTTCAAGTTAGATTAGCAGATGGAAGCCGCTTAATACAAAGATTTAACCACACACACAGGTAAATTGGTGCCATATCAGTGCAGGTAGCCATAGCATATTTTGATTAGTTTGTGTTTTGTCTTTAATTAAATATCAGCGGTGCATAAAAAGGGGAAAATCTGCCTCCACTGAAGTGCTACACCTCTATATCATTTCACAAAAGACACTGATGTAAAATTCCACTTCCAAAGTCAATGTTATTGGAAGTGCAAGGTATTTAATAAGTGCAAAGGCACACTTTCCTGCCTACTTAAATTTCCTGTGATCTGTAAAGAGGCAGGAGCAGCCATAGTGAGTGTCTTTTTAAGTGTGAGGTCCTGTTAGTGTTCTCGGTCAGCCCAGATCTGGCCAACTTCGCTGGATTGTCATCCCCAGCTATGCTTAACCCTAGGTCCTCCATGGGAGGGTTCTGTGGCTGATGTGAATGATGCTGTGAAGACACCTGATTGCAGGGCATCATGGAGTGTAGCTTGAACTTGCAATGTAGTCCATACTGCTGGCAGAGAAGTGCTTTGGCCTGTACTCAAGAGCTCCATCTCTCTCAAATCCATTGATTTGAGAGCCTGTTACAAACATGACATGGATTGTGAGTGTATAGATTGCAGCCCATACTGAAGAGTATGTAGGCATAATGTACTCGTTAGCAATGCTGTCTTCTGGTGTACAGACCAGAGATCATACTGGGAACCAACCTTTGTTTGGTTTGCTTGGATGGTCTACTCCCAGGAATGGGTGTGAACTGGTTGGGATTTTAGAGCTGTTAGTTGTTGCTGGTTGGAATTTGTCAYCAGTTTTATGGACGTCGCTGGGACGCTACCACAAACGGTATTGGCCAACTGGTTTTATTTGCCTAAGAGGCTGCGCTCCTGCACGTTCTGCAAAGTCCTGCTTGGCACTTGCTGTTCTGCGTGACGGAGGGCACTTGGGGCAGGGGTTGCACAACAGCTCCACCCACGCAGTGCAGCGGGCAGCCTTGAGGCCAGCAGCAGGCCTGAATCTTCACTGTCACATTAGAAGGTGGCTCAGACCCTCGGCTGAGGCTGGCATTGAAGGTGGCTTAACACGGACCCAGCCCCACCTTAGTAGCTACACAACTCTGAATTGAGCTGGGTTTTTTTGGCTCGGAATAAGGCCGAGCCAAAGTGCAGCTGTCTTGACTTGAAAGCACACACATACCAAAATGAGGCACCTTTAGCTGTGATTACTGTAGTAAAGAAGACCCTGCAAAAAGTGTTCTTATGGGTCTGATAGTACAGTCTTTCCTGTCCCACACCTAAAGCAGCAGTGATTTAGATAAAACAATATAGCTGCTGGGAAGCATCTGTAGCCATGGTGGGTTCTTGCCTCCAGGAAAGAGTAGAGGTGGCAAACTTCTCAGCAACATCTGCAGGCAAGGATGGGTTAAGTAAAGCTTATGTAATCATTATTATCTTTTTCTTGGAAGTGAATGCTTTTTATTAATCTTGCATATAGATGTTCAAAAAATAGATATCTATTTTATATGTGTAGATATATATACATATAGATGTTCAAAAGCCTTGAAGACTGAATAGAAAGTCAGGCAGTGCTTGCTTGGTTAGAATAAATMTGCCTACTTACTGCTTATAATTAATCATGTAATTACTGCTTGCTCTCTCTGGTGAGAAACCAGGTTTCAATTTTTTGAAAAATCTATCAAATCCTGTAGCTTTCATTCCCCTCTTGTATGTGATTTTTATGTTAAACTGCTAGTGTGATTGTCTTATGAACAATGGCATTGATTTATTTCACTACTAAGTGAAACTAGGGGAAACCTCATATTGTTGAAGTACATTGATGCTCCCCTCAACTCTTATCACTGTCAGCATATACTGACAGCGTCAAATCCATTAATACTTAAGTCTCTGCGATAGGCACTAATGAGGGATTTTTTTTGACAACTAATATTTAAATTATTTGAATTTATTTTTCCTCAGAAACTGATACTAAACGTATATGAACGGCTTAACAAATACATTTTTGTGGTGCAACTTTTATTTCTGTTATTTGAGAAAGCAAACCACATTCTGTTGTATTTTTTCAGTTTTTGTGTGCAGGAAACAGAAGTCYAAACTACTGCAGTCTAGATCAAAATGGAAAAGTGAAATCAAGAGTATATTTAGATGATTTAGTTTGTTACAAGATTCCATGTTCCTTAGGCTTGACGCTCAGACATTTATGCCGAAGTTAAATCATATGTGGTTTTCACATCCATATCTTTTCCACAGGGTTAAGGATATTCGAGATTTCATTATCCAGTCCCGTCCAGCATTTGCCACAACGGATTTTGTTCTTGTGACTACTTTTCCAAATAAAGAGCTAACAGATGAAACCTTGACCCTACAAGAAGCAGATATACTTAACACTGTGATTCTTCAGCAATTAAAGTAATCTTACAGCTATTGGTACAATAGGGAGTGTGCTGTATTGTCCTACAAGGGTGTTTACAAAAACTGAAAAATGGGAAAGATTAATGTCCCTGTTCCCCCTTCACCACTGCCATAGGTCAGATTTTTGATTTTAAGGTCTTCCAGCTATAGCATCTGTAACTTTATTTCAGTTTCTGAAGTTGTTCATTTTTTATCCATGTTAAAATTAAGCTCCCCTATACCAGCAAATTTCAAACTGCATCTTGTACTACATGTGAATGGGAGATTGCTTTCTTACTCTTCAGTTATTTTGGGCAGGGAAGAGGTGAGCATTTTTCTAAAGGGAACAGTATTTCTCACTCAAGTGGTAAGATTTGCACTATAGAAATGATTTATGCTGCATTGACAAACAGCCATTTGAAAACTTAGCCTGTAGGTTATGTTTACCTTCTAAATTGTATTAATATTAAAGTATTCTGTTTTGTAGACTGAGAGATAATTAATGCACTACTATATAACTTTTGTATATTGTTTATAGTGTTTCATTGGTGCAGTATGATTATTTATATTTGAGATTTGATGTAAATTTCCTTATATCGTTGCTGGTATGAATGAATCTGTATTAAGAAATGCAAAGTTCAGCTGTTGCAGACTATATAATAGGTAGTTCTCATTTGTATTTTAGTTGTTCTTGTGATGAAAATAAGGATTTCTTTTTTTTTTCTGAGAGGAAAGGGAGAGACCATTGACATGTGGAGGAATGTCGTGATTCAGATTTCCTGAGAGTTGGCCTGTGGTCACTTTGAACTTGAAGGTGCAATCAAGCCTTGTGCTACACAATTCTTCACATGACTGGTTATTTCAGTAACCTAAAACAAAAAACATTTGTGTATGCAAACACARAACTTATGTATTCAGTCACTCATGTGCACAAATGTAGCTATCTTGATTGGTCATGTACTTTTGATCTGAATGTCAGGTCTTTGTATTTGGAATTTTGGCCAAAGGCATTTTATAATACTCAGTGGGGTTTTGGTTGGGCAGCTTTCATTATACTCATTTGAAAACCGTATGATTAAACTCCATGTTTAATCTTTGAAATTATATTTTTTTCAAATAACTTGGCTCTACACTGCACTATGCAGGTAGGAATCTTAAGTCATGGAAAACTGGCTACTGTACTTTAATARTGTACAGATTTGTAATATTTGTAGCTTTATATAGGGGAATGGACCACACTCTGAAGGAGAGTAAATGGACTGTATTCCTTGTTTTGGTGTATATATGTTAACAATATTGTCTTCACTGAGTATTTCTTTCTGAAAATACCAGCATTTATTTATCTATGCTTAGCTTATCATTGGTCATATTACTTGATTGACATTGTTTTTACCTCAAAGTACATATTTATGAGTAAATTTTAAATGTGCAATTGTATTTGAAGTCATATGTTTTTGTAATCTGAATATCTGCATGATTTAAGTCATAATTCTTTCCATGTGCTAAAGCAATTAAACTTTGAAGCTGAAAATACCATAGGCAATGTTGCATTCCTCCCTGTTGATGTTGTGATGAAGCAGGGATTGTGTTGCGTGCCAGATTCTTAAGCCTGAAAGGAAAGGACTGGGTGTTCAAAATGTGTATATTTTATATAGGAAGATCTTGCAGGTACTCAGAGATGCTATTACTAGCTCACCTGCTTTGCTGCTTGCGGTAAGGTAAAGCTCTAGTGGTCTCTAAATTGCATTTGTTCTGCATGAGGTGTAGACTGGGATGCTGCTGTCCTTGCTCGTGCGCTCCAGGCCTCACGAGTCTCTGGGTAAATGTACAGGGTTCCTCAGGCAGGTGAGGGGGCTGCAGTGACAAACCCCGAACCTGTGAAACCCCCAGAGCAGTCAAGGTGTGTGATTCCTGTCCGATGGTTACAGTTAGAGCGGGTTCCTGAAGAGATGGAAACGAGAGCTGGTCCCACTCGATTAATCACTGGTTCACAATGTGCAGTGGTRAGTAGCAGTAGGCAGCAGCTATGGTGAAAATTTGGTAAACTGTAGCTGTCGGATCAACTGCATCCATAGACAGCCAAAAGTGACATTACAGATCTGGAGCCACCGCCTACAGAAGACTTGACAGTAACCTGGAAAGCAGGGACCCTGCACAGGAGTTGGACATCAGAATAGGAAAGCAGTGCAGCAGGGTTATTTACATCCCTTAGACATTTAGAGAATTTGACTTTGTGTTTGGGAGGTGATCTTAACTGCTGCATCTCTCCTTGGTGAATTAGCTGTGAAATTAGCTGTTGTTAGCATTAGAAATTGGGGGGGAGGGGGGAAAAAAAAAGTTGAAAATATTTTGAAAGATCTTGTTGCAAGTAATTCATTAGGAAGAAAACTATGGTGTGTGAAAGTCAGCGCTCAAAAGTGTGGAGGAGGGAAGTAGTGCAGGACTCTTCAGAAGAGAAAAGTATTAATAATTGGAAGCTTTTTTTAAAAAAAAGTTCAAGTACCTTCAAAGCAAAAACTTTTTTTATAGTTGTTGGAACAGACTGACAGTGAAAATCAATGTCATTGTCTTCATTTAATTTTCAGCGTCATGCTGGCTTTCTGTAAGATGTCTTTTATGTCACCTTATGCTGCTTATAAAACATCTATGTCCTTGGCCTTGTTGTGCCTTCAGTGAGGGAGCTCAGTGGCAATTCGTCTGGATTTTACAGGGCATGAAAACTGTAGAATTGAAATGCAAGGATGGTATTTAGTTCTTGTCGGTTCGTTAAATTGCTATCTGCCTTTGAGTTGCACGCTCATGATTAATAAACTCCATATTTAGGCCCTTTTTTTGAGGAAATAGAAAATAACATATTCCAAGGTAAATTAAAGTAAATTGAACAAGATAGCATTAACTGTGGAATTAAACTTCCTTTAGGGAATTATTTGGGAAGAGCTACTACTTTACATTCATAAATTCACCTCAAACCAACTCTAATTTTTCTGCGTAGGTGAGCTCTTAAACCAATTTAACTATTAATAACTGAATACTCCCAAAGGGAAACATGCAGGCATCATTTTGCTGTATCATGATTATTGTTGAAGTTCAAATAAAATTGATTACTCTGTGGGACTGTGAAAAATGTATTTAGTTTGTGGCTTCTTAGTGATCACTTGGTGTTGATAGTACAAGTTATCTTGAACGTCTTTTTTCTTTGCCAAAGAAAATTCCAAAATTCCTATTGTTTGCTAGATCTAGCCTAAAAAATACCAAATAGTTTCCATTGGGAATTGTGGAGAGGGATATGAGAGTCCTGGTTGACACTAGGTTAACCATGAGGCAGCAGTGTGCCCTCATGGCCAAGCAGGCCAATGAGATCCTGACCTGCATCAGGAGGAGTGTTGCCAGCAGGTCAAGGGAGGGGATCCTGCCCCTCTGCTCAGCTCTGGTGAGGCCGCACCTGGAGTACTGGGGGCAGCTCTGGGCTCCCCAGGACAAGCGGGATGTGGAGAGCGCCTAGAGAGGGTCCAGCGGAGGGCAACCAAGATCATGAGGGGCCTGGAACATCTCTCGTATGAGGAGAGACTCGGTGAGTTGGGCCTGTTTAGCCTAGAGAAGAGAAGACTGGGAGGAGATCTGGTAAGTATGTATAACTACGTGAGGGGAGAATGTAAAGAAGATGGGACCAACTCTTTTTGGTGGTGGCCAGTGATAGTACAAGGAGTAATGGGTATAAGTCGGAACATAGGAAGTTCCATCTCCATGTGAGGAAGAACTTATTTTGTATGAGGATGACAGAGCCCTAGAACAGGCTGCACAGGGAGGCTGTGGAGTCTCCTTCTCTTTAGGTCTTCCAAACCCACCTGGATGCCACCCTGTACCCTGGGAGTCCCTGCAGTGACAGTGATTCTGTGTAGTCACCAATTGTGGGTTTTTTTTTTTTTTTTTTTTTTACCCATGTAAGCATTCAATATTAGGAAGGCAAAACAAGTCTTCGGTGTGAGGGTGCTCAAGAGTGAGGATTTGTATGGGGACATATGCTAGCTGACAGAGTCACTGTTCTGATAAAGGTTGTTAACTTAATCAAAGCTGATGTTCTAGGCCACTGAGCTCCTCAAACCTGCTTTCCTTCATTCCTGCCTACCAGCTAAYTGTTGCCTAGTGGTTGCTGATCATTCCTCTTGGCTCGAACAGAACCTAAACTGTGACAGTTCTTGCAGAAAAAAAAACAGAATTAGAAAATGGTTGAGGTTGGAAGAGACCCCTAGAGATCGTCTAGTCCAAGAGATTTGCTAAGGTAGGCTTTTATTCCCGTTGTTGCAGATCTCAGACTTTGGAAGAAAATTTTATCTTTTCTTATTTTTATAGTATCATGGTCCAAATTATGAAGAAAAGTTTAGGTTGCAAATATGTAGAGAGAGAGAGTAGGTAACACAGCAGATAAAATTGAGAAWATTGCAATTTTGAAAGAATTTTGGAAAAACTTTCATTCTTCATGTTTTATGCGCTAACCTGCACTGACCTCTTGCACTCAGTACCTTTTATTTGTTATTTACTCAACTAAACATTATCTGTGTACAGAAAATCTTTTTAAGCTCCATATCAGAGGCTTGAGCCTGTGAATTCTTATTCTCCTATGTAATGTTCCTGTGTAATGCTCCTGTATGCTCCCAAGTAGGTCCCTAAAGACTACCTGGTGATATATAGGCACATACGAGAATAATTATCTTCAGGTTTAGTGCTCGAATCCTAAACTTTTTGGTGCCTGTGGCCTTGTTTCTTTGTCTCTCTACGTTTCTGAAAGCAATGGCTGCTTAGTTCTAAGTGCAATCTTATGGCCCTACTGCAATAAAATTTTGAAACAATAATAAGCTGACTTAATGTGTATATTAATGGTTTCTCCAATTCTAGCTCCTATTGAGTTTACAACGTTAACTGGTATTATTGCAATGAAATTGTCCTTTTCCTGGATCTCCAAGCTGATGCATTGGTGCATGCARTCTGTAGTTTCCTTGCAGAGAAAACTGTATGGAGGAGAGATCTGCTTGTTTTCTTTCCTTCTGCTTTGAAGTGGKAGTTTAGCTGAACCCATAAAAAGTCAGAGCAGGCCAACCTGGCAAGGTCTGTTTGCCTTCGTTGTCTGTATAGGCTTTATTACCCAATCTACTGCGCAAGCAGAGAAGGTAGAGGTGACCTGGAGTCAGGGTTTTCCAAATACCCTTTGCTTGGGGCCAAGGCCACCAGCAAACACGCAGGTAGTTTTATGAGTTTTCTTAGAATAGTAGCATTTGCAAGCTCAGGTAGTGCTGCTGAACAGTGTTAGTACAGGTACAGTAATTAAGCATTCACTAAGTAATTAAGCCCAATTTTCCTTTGTGGTCTGCCTCTCCATCGGGCAGTTTGCAAACACTGTTTAAGCAGATAACAGCAAATCAGTAGGACAGATTTATCCTTCCTTCCGTCGTTCTGGGAAGTTGATTGTAACCTGCATCAGGTGGTCTCCTGCTAGTAAAGGTGGGACACAYGTGGCAGGAAAAGACACTGCACTCYTACCCCAGCTCTTATAGCTCTCTGAGTTTGCACTTCGTGCTTCCCATGCTGATTGGCTGCCACTCTTTTTTCATAAATGAGTCCTTCTTCCTTATATTCTTGCCTTCTTGAGCATCTGCTGCTGAAATGGAGTCTTCTGACAATATATTTTCATTCTGTTCTTTCAGAGTTGAAGATTATCACATTGCATTGCTGTTCATTTAATGATGAGGAAGAGCAAGTAATGCTTTGCTTGGGTGGCCGCTCAGGCTGACCATGCAGTAGTTTCTTTTCTATCTGAAACTTTCTTTTGGATGGAGTGCAGTAGATTGCATCTCAAGCATCCATCTTGTTTGTCATAGCTAGGCTAATTTTTTTTAAATCAAAGAGTATGAATGTATCATGTGCTGCTTCTCTGTTGTTACTACCCTGAATGTATTTGCATCTGTCTATTCCATGGTCCCTCTCTGGCCAGAACAAAGCCCTTTAGTCCATAGGGAGAGGTGTAAAATGTAGGATTTGCTTTAGAAACATGACCCGCTCCCTTACTCAGGGTGAGCTAAAATTTTGTAAACGAGGGGTGTTTCTAGGAAAGTTGACTGCRAATATCCCAGTGGGTATAAGAAGAGAATGATAAGAACAAAGGACCTTGGTCAGCAAGACAGTGAGGGGTGGCTGGTTCTCACTTAATATTAAATTACTATACATTTATGTCTATACTTCTCTGTCTTTTGGATGTTAGGATAATGAAAAAACTACTGAGGACTCCTCACCACCTTTAACTGAAGGTCAGAGCATTTTGCTGACATTTCTGATTCCAACCCTCGTAGTTTCATGCCAGTA